ACGAGGAACACACATCAGGCTTGGACAGAAAATTAATGGTTCAAGGTAAGGCGTTATAGGAAGAAGGGGCCACTCATCACGAATTTCTTTGTTGAGATTCGTATGATCGAAAAGCACAATAAAAAACAGGGTTGCATCGCTTCTCGAAAACTTGCTGCTGAGACAAAGTTCCTTTCCTCGCGAAAAGTAAGAAGTGAGTAATCATATTTTAAAACTTCAAGGAAAGTTTGTATCAACGAAAATTTTGTGTCAAGGAACCGGGAATGAAAAAAAAACATCGATTGACATTAAAAACCGAGAGTTAAACGCATCTCACAGTGTGATTTTGTCTTTTCATTTATCTTTTAAGTATCAGATTCCTCCTCCAATACATCTTCATATAGTAATTTTATTCATATCGACGGTAAATGCAAGGATGCATGCATATTTGAACGCAACCAGTTTTTTTGCAGTATTTTGGAGGGAAAATCGAGTCCTCCATGCGCCAGGTAAGATTCTAAGTATGAAGTTCCTTTTCTAATAACCTGGTCGATTAGCATCATGAAATAAAGGAGAATCTCCAAGAAAAAATTCCATACTGCCTCCTCCGAATTACCTCAATGACTCGACACGTGGGGAAATATGGGAGAGTGCGTCTCGGCTGAAAGAAAATCACTCATGGCACAGTGGAACGAACCACTAGGAGAGGTCAAATACAAGCTCGTCGACTAAAACTGCAAATTTTAATGTTCAACTCGTCCCATGATACATTCAACGGAATGCCTCTTGAAGAAAATAATTGTTCGAGAAAACAAATTAAACCACTTCTAAACCGTCACGTTATAAAATAACGAATTTATAAGCTTTTTAAGGTTCCATATACTGTATCTGACCTCACCTGTCCCACTGTGCGGCATACGTGAGATGTGCACGAGGAATGATTGACCTTGAAATGGAGATAACACGATGACCGGGGTCGTGCACAAATGATTGGGGGCTCAAAGACCTGGAAAATGACTAATCCAACTTATGGGATTTATTCTGGAGTTAAATGACCGAACGCTAAATCTGAAAATAGGATGCCTACGTCCCTCCACGATCTTAAGCTTAGAGGCTCCTCACGTGTACTGCCGTGCTAAGGAAAAACACCGTATGAGCCCTCAGATGTTGCCATATCTCTTCAATAAAAGTCTAATTTACTGAGAAAATTGTGGATATTTTCCCCCCAAAATTTTCAGATAGATTTGTTCTCGATTTAATCAAAGATATCTGAAAATTTCAAGGAAAATTATGCAAAACTTTCCTCACAAATATATGTTTTATTCGAGGAAATTTGGCAACTCTAGAATGTTCATACAACGTTTTTCCGTAGCAAGGCAGTGCGCCTGCCCTTTGAGGCGGTCTGGCTTTTGCAACATATTGATGGCTTTTATTCTTTTTTCTTCTTTTTTTTCTTAATCGACCATGGACCACGGTCAATCGATTTGGAGTGTTTTTCAAAATGACGACACGTTTTTGTCGATCTACTATTTAGATACGTCTATCGGCATCGATAGACTTATCTTGGCTTAGACATTCTCGTTTTTTTATGGACAGCGGGACTCGGAACTTTTTAGTCCTCTACCGCCCGTCATCTTTTATTTTCTTCATCTTTTTTTTAGCTATTTAAGGTTTTAATCCTCTAAAGATGTCTCAAGTGAAAAGGTAGTCGGTTTAATGGTTGCACAGGATAACTTAAAAATTGCAGAAAGTATCTTGCATATCCGGAAGTACAGGAAGGGGACGTTGCTTTCCCTGGTAAAATTTTTTCATAGGATCTATTCCGAAGTACCGTAGACCCACGGCCGGCCGTAAGATTTCTTATAGCTTTTATAGCCGGTTATACAATTTCGTATAGCCTTTTATAGTTGATTTTGATAAAGCTAAAGCCAGGGAACAAACTGTATAGCCCGACGATAGGGACTACAGCCCGACCCTGGTAAAAATTGGCGATAAGAGCTCAGAAAATCATATAGCTGGCTGTAGAATGCGGAGAAAATCATACGGCCAGGCTATACGAAGCGATAAAAAATTATGCAGCCGGGCTATAGTTCCTATAGACGAGCTTTACACTTTATCGCCTGGCTGTTGCTTTTTCGCCACCGATTATAAAAGGCTATAAGATATTGTGTAGAAATTTGTGTGCTTTGGAAATCATTAAGTTTGATACGGAACCACCTTAATATTTACAAAACACACGTTATATTTTCCTTCAATACAACGATCAATTAAAACGAGAACAATTCATACAGGATGTGCAAACATTTCAAAATCATGAGTTGAATAACGCTTGCTCCGCCAGATTAAATATTAGAGCCTAACACAAAGCGGAGCGGCGACGCACTGGCACCTACAAACCTAACAGGGATACTTCACGCATTGCGCAACGCGTGAAGTATCGCTGTTAGGTTTGTGGGCGCTAATGCGCGTTTCGCGCTGGCTGCCCGCCTGCCGCACCGCAGCGTGCCACGGCGCTTGAAGCAACTATTTCACACCAGAGGTATTGCACAGTATCATACGAAACTGAAGGCGCTCTAATATATTAGGAATGGCAGGCATCCATCAAAAGTACGGAGCTTTCCTCGCAAAATAAATCAAGATACTACAGCCCAAAAAGAGAGCATAGTGGTCCAAAAACTCACTAAGTCCTAGCATCCGTAATTTTATTAGTGACGTTTAGCATACACTTTATCGCCTGACTGTGAATTGCTTAGTTCGGCTATAAAAGGCTATAAGGATTTGTGTAGCCGGCTATAGAGGCTATTGGAACTCTTACAGCCGGCCGTAGGTCTATGGTATTTTGGAACACAGATTCTACTGCCAATTTTTACCAAGGGACTGTATAATTTTTATCGTTTCGTGTAGCCCGGCTGTACGATTTTCTTCGCTTTCTGTAGCTATAAGAATTCCTATGGTGCTTTGAAACGCAGCTCCTATAGCCAATTTTTACCAGAGTTATTACTTTATATGTCAACATATTTTTCGATTTGAGGTAATTTTTTTCAATGCGTTGAATTTTTCTTGAAAAGTGCACAAGTTTTGAAAGTTAGAAGTTATCAAACCGAACACTAAGACATCAGCTTGATAGCTAAGATTGTATTCAATGACCGATTTGACTCGCGTTGATTTTGGGTTTTTCGCAAGCGGAAGGATTTAATTCGCTGATTCTAATGGAGTTATTCAGTAATGAGCTACTTTTGGAAATTTCTAATTAACGTTTCGTGTTCTGCATTGCATTTTCTGATAATGTATCGCGATGTTATATGTCTCGTATAAGTTTAATTCTTACCCTATCTAGCGGTCCATTCCGCCTTACTGGGAATTTGCGGTGTTACAAATTTGCCAGAGAGACAATTTCTTGCAAAAATGGATGACTTGGCCAGAAAAAAAGTGGACGAAGGAAAACAAAATATGGGGAGGACCCTGACTGAGCTAAAGCAGGTAAATGTTTAACTGTGTGATTAGTCAAAACGAGGATGAGAAAAGTACAGAAAAGTGAGTGATACGCAAGGTGCAAAGTGTAAGACCTACCTTTGCCAAAAACAGGACAATTTTTAACCACGAGATCAGAAAAAAATCTCCTGAGAAAAGAAGCGCGAGCCTGCAGGACTGTACATGGAATACATTGGTAATAGTCTAATACGCTTACCACTTGCAAGTCGCAACCTCTAAGAGATATCAAAAGACCCAAGAGTACTTTAGTTCAGCAGGAAATTGTCTTAACTTCCAGATGTCTCAGAGTAAAGTACAATTTCAGTCGATTTAACCAAAAATTTGGTCGAATAACCAAGTCCTTTAGGTTGATTTGACCGAAAAAAAGTAACCCAAAGTCACAATATCACGGAAATTTTTAACTGTGTGCTCTTCCCACTAAAAGCCAATTTCCAACCGTGTGATTAGAAAAAAAAGGAAGGAAAAAAAAAGGTTACAGGACAATTTTTTCACTTTTATCCGTCCAATATTGAAATGTGTCCATAGTTGATTTTGCCGATGAATTCTTAATTTTTGTTCCGAGCAAATATCTCAATTTTTTGGCCTGAAAACTGAATCTAGTCCAATGGACGCGTCGTAATTGAAGATGACAGACGAAATTTCAATCGAAAATCGAGGATAAAAGCTCACGAATTTCAAATGTTTCATGAAATTTTACATAGCTGGTCGTAATCTATTGCGTTGGAATAGATGTGTAACACTCAGTCCTACAACAAGAACAAAGACAATCGGACAAGATTTGTGTCGGGACCAAAACATTTATTAGACAAAAAAATGTGACGGACGACTCTGCAAAGTGGACGGAAAAAAGTGGATAAATTCAGAATTGCCATAGCATTTGAAAAATTAAAGTCCCTGATATTTCCCTAATTTTCCTGACACCTTTTGGTGAAATTCCTAGACATATAACAAATTTCAAATGATTAAAAAGACGCACAGTAAAAGCTCGCTAAGTCAAACTACGGTAAAGACAAAATGCCGATTAAATCGAAATTTTTGTTGGTCCCTACTTAATTCGACTTAGCGAGCTTTTACTATGTAGTAAGAGATAGTTGTCAAGCAGAATTTGTCGTTCGAAACGTCAAACCCACTCGAGAAAGCAAATAAAGTTGACTTGACAATTTTTCTCTGAAATTTTCGTCATTCTTCCTGACTTTAAAAATTCTCTAACATTTTCCAGTTTTCCCGGTATTCCCTGGCTGTGGTAACCATGCAAATTCACTGAAAAAAATAATATCCTGTTTTAGCACCGAGGATGTGAAAAATGTGACTGGTGGTCCCAAGATGCTGCCTTTACTGCCCTGGCAGTTAACTTTACATCCTATAAATGCAAATTCAACTGCGAGGGCAATCAAGATAGCATCTTAGGATCACTAGACATATTTTTGACATCCTAGGTGCTAAAACAGCATATCATTTTTTTCAGTGTTGTCCTGGAACCGGAAAATTTTTGAAGAAAACTGGTCCGAGATGAAAGGCGTCAGACCTACCTTTGCTGAGCAGATCAGCCGAGGACCAGTCGTCGAGGGAACCGGTTGGATCGGTGAATTGGTCGGGGAGCACGAGTTAAAGGGGCGATGAGCACAGAAAAGAGGGTACTTCCGGTTGTGGTGATGGTCGCGTTGGGTCCGGTTCCGGTTCTGCTGGTAGCGGCGGTTTAAGCACGAGTGGGAGCGCGGCAGCCACTTGCCGCTTCTTTATAATTTATTATTGGCCCTCGCGCACCCCCTCCCCACCCCCCGTCATCCGCCCCTGCCGTACCGAAAACGCAACTCGCGGAGCGCGCCCGACTAACAGGTGGGCATCGTCGCACCCTAGGCGGAATTGAACCGATTATTTGCCAAATCACGTAAGTTCCAACATTGCGAATGCGAAGAAAACAAGAAAAACCGTTTTATCCGCTTTGTTGGCAATGTTTAAATTCTAAGAAATGCATGCTCTTTCAAATGGCTATTTTGAAATCAGACATGATTGATTGTACCATAGAAAACAAAGAAAAAAACAACCCTTTAACCGCAAAAATGAAAATTGGCGCTTACGTGATTTGGAAAATAATCGGTTCAATTTTAGATTCTCGTGGTTCAACCACTGAAAGCACCCCCCCCCCCCCCCCCAAAAAAAGTTAGTTTTGAAAATGTTTAATTTTTATCTACAGCGATTATATTTATCCCCTATTAACTGGTGGGCATCTTTGCACCCTAGGCGCAATTCTGGATTCTCACGGTCCTGTCTCTAAGAGTGCAGCAAAAAAACAAGGTCGTTTTAAACACGTTTTATTTTGATTTGCAAGAGACAAATTTTTCCTCCAACTAATTGGTGGGCATTTCCGCACTCTAGGCGAAATTTTGAATTTTCATGTTTTCATCACTGAAAGCCCACAAAAAAAAGTCAGTTTTAAAAAAAAAAATGTTTTATTTTGATCTGCGAGATTTATTCGTCGCCGCTAGGTGCAGTCAAAATCAATACAAAACGTTCTATTCCGTTGAATAAAGTGTTAACATTAAAATATGATCGCTCAGCAGTCACTGCCTTGAGTTAGGTTTATTTATATATCTAGGATATTCTGGAAGGATTTAAAACGGAAATTGACTCCATTGAACCTTTTTGAGTGTCACAACCGTCACACTTTTTATTTTTGAAGCAAGTGATATTCTAAAAAATCCTTGTGCTCACTTTATAGTCCTTACAACCAATTGCATGTGTACAGACTTAGGAGTTTATGCTTCATTGCTGTTGAGTATACCCGCCGTTTTTATTTAAATTTCTCACCACCGTCACAGTTATGCCCGTCACACCACATAGAATATTTTGTGTGTAAAAAGAAGGGAGGATGGATTGTCTGATAAAAAAGGTACCCATATTAAATGTTTAAGCCTGCATGGTACTTGACTAAGAAAACAAATCTTCGATCTAAAATAATCAATTTGAATTTTTAGTTTTTTGCGGGCCAAATTGGACGGTTTTCGTTGAATTGCCCCAATACGTTTCACGCCAACTAGCGACCGCACTTTTTTTGTGCAATGCGTAAGGTATTCATACAGTCTTGTAGGCGCACACATGCTTTCCGTATCGACCAGTGACCGTACTGTGTTAGGCGCAATGCGTGAAGTATTCCAGCCTTCTTGTAGGCGCTAATATGCTTCTAGCGCCGACTAGCGTCCGCTTTGTATTGGGCGCAATTCGTAAAGTATTCTTGCAGTCTTGTAGGCGCTAATATGCTTTTCGTGCCGACCGGTAGCTGCACTATGTTTGGCGAGAAAAGAATCAATGATGGATTAGATTTGAGAGAAACTGTAGACACAGAGAAGAGATAATACGGTTGAAGATTGCCAGGGTTAAATTGATGAAACGGTTCATGCAGAGTGCAGACAAAAATGTTCGAATAGAAAGTGTAGCAAAAATTAAATGGAAATAAGAAGCAGAAGCTAATGCAAGTAGGAGGAGGCGTCTTCCGCCATTTCGGATTTTCGAATTTTAATAATATAACTTAAAAATTTGATTTTTTTTTCAGAAAATACCCTGTGACATCGAATTTTACAAACATCGATCGAATAGGAACCGAGATAGAATTTTCGGCCATTTACCTGCTTTCTTGGATTTTCAATTTTGAAACTTTCATAAAAACGCTTGATATCCCAAATCTAAGCTTGTCAGTCTCGGATTCCTCGTTGAAAATCGTTATTATTGCATGTGTCATCCGTTAATGAAGGAAAGGGGCTGAACGAAGGCATACTGATTTTGACATATCAGAATGATAATCGGATAGTCGGATCCTATGGACAAAGTCGGTCTTTCAAAGAGTCAGGGTATCCTTTTCCTGGGCATTTAAAAATCCATAGAGGACGACCCCATTTATGATCCGTCGTTCCCAGACATTCAGACATTCCGTCTCTTTAAGTTTAGATAATAGAAATAGAGAATTCAAGATAAACTTAGAGATGGAGGAGATGGAAGAATGACATATCTTTCATTAAAATTATGGACAAATATTTGATAACCGTACAATTTCAAAGTTGTAAGATAGTATGCCACGCACTTGATTAGAAAAAATGCTCACTTGTCACAAAGGCACAATGCACAAATGCCACAAATGCACAGGGCCAAGTTGTCTTCCGGGAGGATAGGCTCCTGGCCCCCTGGATTCCGAGTGCAAATTTCAAATCGTCATATCTTTCAATTATTAACTCTCACTTTGGCAAAGGTTTCAAAGTTATATAAAACTATACTTTGAAAAATAATGTTGCATATTGGTACCTTAGGAACAAGTTAATCAATTGCTTTTCGGAAATTTTTGAAGGGAAAATTCCAAGACTGAAGGCATTTGCATTTTATCGAATTGACTGTGGGACCTTCATTATAAAGGCTATGATATCACCTGTCGTTAAAACTATTATGTGTTCTTAGTTCAACTTCATGGTGCGAGTTTGCAGGTGCGCATTGTTTAGACATCTGTAGCAAGTGTTATTAAAGGGAGCGACGAGGGCGAAAATGACGTTTTGGAAAATGGACCCAGTGCTTAGTGTCTGAGCGAAAAGTATAATCCAACGAATTATCCTCCCTTCTTCGTGAAACGGTGAATGATCATCCAAAAGACTATCGGAAATTGAAATTGACACATTTCATTTTTAACTACATAAGGAGGGTCTTTTCCATTTCATGTTAAGTCAGACAGTAGTGAAAGGTTCGTTATGCATGCTTGCTTGCGGAGGTGTGTTTTGTGTTTTAAAGGGTGCACAATGGCAGAAAAGGGTACACTGAAAAAAAAAAAAAATTGCTAAAATACGGTGACAAATCACCAAATTAGTAAAATCAACCCGGTGTTCTTAATCTATTTTGATGAGTTGTCACCTTTTTTCACTATTTCATGTGTTGATTTTAGCAGTTTTTTTTTTTTTCAGTGTACCATTTTACTCATAACAGCAGCAAATGTACAGCTCTCTGCTGATATGTCTGAAACAACGCCTATAGTTTTACACACTAACAGCTTTCTCATAACTCTCGTCTTTAGTTTCACGAGTAAGACAAATTTTGCTGTTTGAGCTGAATCAATCGATGCATTTAAAGGAGATCAGTCAAATTTTTAGATCAGCGTAAGACTGGAAATAGAAAATTTGTGCATAAAGGCTCTCTCGGAAAAACGTCAGAGGACAGAGCAGAACGTCCAAGTAGGACGACTAACTTTAAAAGTCACCCGCCCCTTTGTGCGGGGGAGTTGGGTGTCTCCTCCTCTTGATCCTGGACCAATGAGAGGAGCCTAAACACACGCTCGGCCTTCTCTCTCACTCTGCCTCTTTCGATAGCCTCTTTCTCCGTCAACGATGCGGTGCGGCGTCGGACCTCTGTCATCGAAAGGATCTGCAAATAGGTATCTTTCTGACGCTCGTCCAGCAGAATTCAGTAGTCGCAGTCGACTCGTATACTGGCTGCCATGCAATCTTCTATTATATCATGGTACTTACATTTATTTTTCGTCCGATGTGAATTTTTCTTTGGTTGTCAAACTTAAGCTACATGCGGTGGCCACCTCCAGGTGGTGTAAGTTGGACAACCGAAGAAAAAATTCACATCGGGCGAAAAAAAAATGTAAGTACCATGATACAAGTGCAACCCGATAAAGAAAAAAAAAAACATAATCTACTATTTTTAAAATATGACCTCTGAGAGCTCCAGGGGCCCAAAACTTCGAACCATCTGGACTTTTTATTTCCACGAGCTTGATAGTCGATGGTGAAACTACTTTACTCATCACCTCGATTTTTAACGGTTCAAGTTAGCTGCATTAATGAGCTGTAGGGGATATATATTACCATCAAAACGTTTAATGTGTAAAAATATCGAAGTTACACAAGAACGTATTTCAATTATTGTGTATCTGCGCACTATTTCTCAAAACTCGTATCTCATGCTGGATCCTGTGTGATTACATAGACCGCATAGGAAAGTAGTGTCCATGCGAAGTGATTAAACATAGCGTTGAGTCATCAAATTTGCAAAATTCCTGTGCCTCCGGCCAGTAAGACAGAATCTAATTTTCAAAACACGCATCTCGATTTTTATCTCAAAATTCTCAATTGACGAAGTTATATTAAAAAATGCTTGCAGAGACTACTGTCAAAAATGTGAACCGTAAACAGATGGTTAGCTTTCCTGAAAAAGTGTATTTTTCAAGGAATACGTTCCTGTAGGTCCACCATTGTAGTGTTCTACCACATTACACAAGTGTGTAGTGTGTTTGGTTTCTACCACAAGTTTGCTTTATAACTGCATTTTTCAAAAAAAGATAAAGAGACACACACTCTCTCTCTCTCTCCCCCCCCTCTCCCTCTCTCTCTCTCTCAGGGAGTTCCTTAATTTTAAAAATATTTCTTCAAAAAACATCCCTGAAGTATGAATTTATCCTTATGCCACGTATTGATCCGCAAATGTTTCTAATGAAATAATTTTTAATCACTTAAAAATCATCGCTTGCGTGAAACGGTAAATCGAGAGTGGTATGTTGGTTTGTACCCTATTCATTTGGGCGATAGTTTCAAAGTTACTTCATATGAGGTTTTTTATCATCAGATTTTGCACGGTAGCACTTGTAAGAGGCAATTACCAATAAATCATGATAATCTGAATGGGGTACAATCGTAAAGGCTCACAAAGTGTAGAGATTTTGCATGTGAGTTCTTGATGTT